AGGGTTTTAATTGTCAATTTATATATATTAATTTATATACATTTCATAAAATATCATATGTTTCGTTAAATGCTTTGAAAAATTAAAAGAAATCCACCAGTAAAACTTAAAGTCGCCATACTGACTGGTGCGACGTAAAACACAACGAAAACAAAGTTAGACTGGCTGACATATCATAGATCAGTTTACCCTCTCTGGGAAAAAATGCAAGCAAGTAATTTTTTGTACTTGTTCCCGCCCCAAATTTGAACTTTTAATAGTATATTAGCATATTAGATCCTGATTTTTGTTTATCTAAATTGAATTTTTCGTGTGACTGCAGGAAATGGGACAGATACTAGTCTTAGTTAATACTTTTAGTTTTAAATAAATCACATACATAAATACTTATGGGCTGTAAAAATACGTTAATTCATATGTAAATGAGATTTATTCTGTTTCCAAAATAAGAAAAAAATCTAAAACACTATTATTATAATTTCGTTATCATATATATCAGAAATTTGACGACAGTAGAGGGTGAAAAAACTTTTAACAGTAAGGTTATGAGCAGTCTAGGGTACTAGTAACTGATCTTCAACATTTTATGATGTTGAACTTGTGATATTTGTCAATGTAATGCACAGATATTGCCCTATCGTTGTCATGTAGGGAATATTCATTAATAGAGATTTTCCGTTTTCTTCAAAGTGACTGATTTACTAAGTTATCAAGTAAAGTTAATAAAAGTCTAACAATAGTTAATAAAAACATCGTTTAAATGTACACTGATTTCATTTATTAAAAGACTTGATGTTACGTTACTTTTGAAAACAGCATTGCTATTGCTGTATAATAAAAGTTGAAAATAATAATATGTTAAATGAAACTTTGTACCCTTTATATATGTAAGTATCAAACTTATGTTAAGGCATTTTTGTATCATAGAACAACCTTGCTACACGAGCAAAATGTCCACGTGGTATAATTTGTTGAACCTTTGACTGAGTGGATTATTTACAAAAAAAAATACAAGCAGATAAAGTCAAGTGCACGACAATCTGATTTAGATACCCGTGCATCTATGTAAACTAATGAAGTATATTGTATTATACCCTATAATGATTTACTATATATGCTTTGAAACTACCGATTTTTTATCAAATTTTATGGCATGCATTTTAAGGGTTAATAAATTGAGTTCTTGAGATGTTTTGTTATAAATTTGGAACAGAAGTACCTGCCTCTTTACTTTATTTAATGTTAGGCGCGCAGATGTTTCAATTTTAGAATGTTAAAAAGAAATATCTCAAAGATGAAAGTAAAATAAGTTCTTTAATGTAGCAGAATGATACGAGAACCGCTCAAGATAACTACACGTAATGAATTTATTGTTCATTTAATCTATTTTATGGCATGTTATTTCACTGCTGTATCATAGAATGTTTAAAGTTAAGATATTTAAACTCCCAAAAGTAGTTCCAGCTTGGTGTATAACCCCCGCAAACTAATGATATCGATAACAATTTGAAACACTTAAAAGTCCAATGTGAGTTTTTATATATCTATACAGAATGCTTACTTAAGAAATTTAAGTTACAACAAAACGCTCGATCTTTCTTAACATGTCAACATTAACAATTTAAAAGTTCGTTTAGAGTCTGCTATCTTTCGTTTAACTTTTTCGGTGAAAGGATGGGGTGGCGGGTGTCCTTTTTTTGCTTCTCCTTCAACAATCATTCGGTGTGATTGTTTTCATGTAGCAAATATTTTTCCCATTCAATTTTTACTGTCGGAGGTTCATTGAATCCATTATGGACGGAGTGTAGAAAAAAAGGCTGACATGAAATATAGTGCCGACATCATCATTTAAGTTTAATTTGCAAGTAATGCTGATTTAATTAATGGCGGTTTTGATGTAGAAACATTGACAGACACATATGTAAAAGTAACGAAATGATAGAAACTGTTACGTGCTTAATGTTGTAGGGATATCGATTTCTTGAAAATAAAAATTGATATAGCCGATCAACAATTCAAAAAATAATCGACGAGGATGAGATTCGAACCCACGCGGGCAGAGCCCAATGGATTAGCAGTCCATCGCCTTAACCACTCGGCCACCTCGTCCGTTTACTATGTACCGACCAGTTGTATATTTTACTTTATAGAAACAGCTCTATTTTCATCATATAAAAACAAAATATAGTTAAAAATGTTCACAGTTGCCAAAATTATTGGTTAAAAAGCTATAAAATTAACTACTTTCACAATGATATCGACTGTAGTATTACTAACATACGTAGATCTTATTAGTATAGTACTTGTTTACACTTAGAAATCAATATTTTCTTAATTCTTTAGAAAATGATATACATGTGTTATAAAATGTTTTAAGAATGTCTTTAGAGCATTTAGATATTCAACAACTAAAAAAGTAGCGCTTTATATGCAGTGATTTGTAGAAAAGGTATCAAAATGTAAACAAAAAAGTATTTTGACTTTCATACAAAATACTTATTCACTAAAATACAATTTGCCAAACATAGCAAAATAAGCAAAAATAATTTATGTATAATGGCAAATGAGTATTTATATAATGGACCTTTAAGTTTAATCTCGTCTTAATATTCAGTTATAGCGATTTTATATAGGTGGTTTCGAAAGTCACGTGCTTCAGTTCGTTATTCCAGCTATCTTCAATAGTAACCTTTATTTATTTAGAGGAGTTAACAACAAATATTCCGATATTTGAACTTGATACAAATGTATGAAGTATTTCGTGCTTTGGTTTTTCATAAACATGAAAATCAGCGACATTACTTGGTAAAAACATAAACATTAAAAGTTACAGTATCGTATTTAGACTATATAATTAACAGTAAAATCAGCGACATTACTTGGTAAAAATACTGAACTATTTGGTTTACTTTTTTCAAAGAGTTTGAATGGTTAACTCTGTTTTTTAATAAATTATATGATAGTTAGATATCGGGCGCCAAATTAAGATCAGATGTTAAACTGATAACACTGATAACTGATAAGTTTCGTCACAGAGACAATAATCTTTCAACGAGAACCGTAAATAGTTCGGTATTCGCTTTCTTTCTGTTTCCAACCTACTGTCACAATCAATAAATCAATCAATCAATCAATCAATCAATCAATCAATCAATCAATCAATCAATCAATCAATCAATCAATCAACCAATCAATCAATCAATCAATCAATCAACCAAAGCAATCAAGCAAGCAATCAAGTATGCAAGTAAGTAAAATCAAGCATGCAAGCAAGCACTTCTGGGACATGCTGTCAACTATTTAATCCAGAGGCAAATTAAAAAAAGAAAACAAGTATATATCATAATTTTTCGGATGTACAGTATTATTTACATGTCTTTACGTTTTTCATGAATATAAGATGATACTTTTCTTGATAAAATCTATAACGTTGAGAAATTAACATAGGTCATGAAAAAACAGTGGTGACTGTCTTTTAAATAGATCACAAGCTAAAATGATTATATAAATGATATTTCTCCTAACAGATAATACCAGAATTTAATCCTTAAAGTTCATCGTTTTTATTTTCATACACTTGTATTGAAATTTTACCTCGACTTCCGACTCTTTATACCCGTAAACTGAACCACTTACACACGGTACTTCCGCCATGACTTCATAACCCATTAACAGTCCCATTTTCGACAAAACATTTTCTTTTAGTGCGTTTTTACATTTGTTTTTTCGCCGTCTTTTTTTTTTGATAAATGAGTCTGAATATTTAAGTTGTTTGGAAAGAATTAATAGTTGGTAATCTGGGATAAAGCTGCCCACTTTCTTACATTCCTATCTTAATACCCCAGTTTACAAAATTATGGCTACCGCTACTATTTTGTCTGGAAATTGAAATAATATACCACTTGTTAATCCATCAGCTAGTGTAAAACGGTAAAAACACGGTAAAAACACTTTCATATCGCTAAAAAACAACTGAGAACTTCCGCTCAAAAGGCACCTTGCCGGTTTATATTCGTCCTATAACACTAGCTAATGCTGAATAGCCATTAGATGGCTATAGTGTCAATGGTTCTAAAGTCGTATAATATGTGAAATAAAAAGTATATTTCCCATGACAATAATTCATTTTTTAAGATTGATATAAACGACTTTTATTGATTCACAAGTAGCAAACTCGCTTTCAAATTTACTGAATTTGCTTTTAGACGATTCAACAACAGCAACAACAACAACAACAACAACAATATAATTTAGTTTCATTTCAAGCTTATGCGATCGAAGGCTAATAAGCAATGAAACACTTTGATGAATTTTGATTTGAGTTACTTCCCTCTTTCAGTCGACTATGCCTCCGATTCATTTCCGTCAAACTTCGGATTTAGATTTGTTTGTTTGTTTGTTTTTGGGTTTGACGTCACATCGATACAGTATAGGTAATATCGCGACGTTCCAGCTTTACTAGTGGAGGAAGACCTCTGGTGCCCTTCCGTGCATTATTTCAGGCACTAACGGGCCCTGAGTAGAACCACCGACGTTCCGTAAGCTAGCTGGATAGCTTCCTCACATGAAAGAATCTAAAGTTCCTGTCGGGATTCGAACCCACAGCGGTGAGGGGCAAGTGGTTTGAAGTCAACGACCTTAACCACTCGGCCACTTAGACACTACAAATTAGCAAAAAAGAAACCGATGAAACGTCCGGCTATGGTTATTCGGTTAATGTGATTTCCTGAAATTATTGAGTGGACTTTAAACTGTTTACACATAATAAATTAATTACTGAAGTAAGATTAACATTCTATATAACCCAAACCTGCTATGTTTATCTTTTAATATACCGAAGTAAGAAATTACATGCAATCGGGCAAGGTTCAGATCCTATGATGGTATTTCAGATTTCTGTTGTCAAGCCAAATGATTGGTTTAATAAATACACATTATACAACAGATCAACATTACATATATATAATGTTTTAGTAAATCTGATATTATTTTTATTTCAGGGAATGTATGGACATACAGGGGATCATTAGGTAAGCCAAGATGTTTTCTCTCTACGATCTTATATAAACTTATGTCAAGAAAAATCATTTATTCGTATATACGAGCATATATTTGACCCTTCAAATAAAAGCAAATATTTCGATCAACGTCCTTATTACATAACCTAGCGAAGCTAGCTTTTAGTTTGACTCGTCGGAGGATTTTAAATATGATAGATAACAACGTTGGAAGGTAGTGTATAATAGTGACGTTATATATCATGACTGAGCCGCGTCATGACAAAACCAACATAGTGGGTTTGCGATCAGCATGGATCCAGATCAGCCTGCGCATCCACGCAGTCTGATCAGGATCCATGCTGTTGCCATCAGTTTCTCTACTTGTAATAGGGTTGGTAAGCGAACAGCATGGATCCTGAGCAGACTGCGCGGATGCGCAGGCTGGTCTGGATCTATGCTGGTCGCAAACCCATTATGTTGGTTCTGTCATGACGCGGCTCAATTATATAGTGGCAGTAATTTGTGACATTGTCGACTACTATCACGCACGTTTCCATCTTGTCCACTGTATATTTCAAACAGTGTTTTTACAAGCTATTTTATAATGTTTCTCTTTATAGGTCCAGATCATTGGCATTTAGATTTTCCACATTGTGGTGGAGTGAAGCAATCTCCCATCAGCCTCATCACTAATGACGTCATTATCGACACGGAAAGGCTTACACCAATCGTATTCAGTGGTTTCGATGTGGTATCAAGCAAAAACTACACAGTTGAAAATAACGGTCATACAGGTTGGATGCTAATTTTGATTTTTCACTTTTTCTTGACCTGTACAGTAGGCTGTAGGGAGTTGACGAACTTGAAGTTTTTGTAAATATACGTTAAATACCGCGAGTCACGGCGATACTACCGACAATTATTGCTCTTTTTTACAATACAATATCTACCGAGAGTTATCTATCTTTATTGATGTTATACGAGAATTATAGTCTCTATCAAGAGTTAGTCGTCTTTGTTGATAATATTTTCTGTACCGAGAGTCGGTCTTTGTCAATAAAACGGTTGTTGGTGTTTATAAATGATTCCATCTTTAAAAAAAGATTTGACATTCTTTACAAATTTTGACAACATCTACCGTGTTTGTCGTCTTTCCTTCACGAAAAGTTGGCGTTCTTCGCGAACGTGTGTCGTCTTTCGTTGTTTATGATACGATTTCTAGCAGGTTTCTTTATTAATGATTCGATCACTACCGTTAGATGGCGTTTGTTTATTAATAGTGACGATATCTACAGAGAGTTACGGTTCTTTGTTGATAATAGTATTTGTACCGAAAGTTATCGTTCTGTGTTTATGGTAATGTGTCGTAATAGGGAGTTCAATTTTGGGTAAAATTTGAAATGTTTTCTTAGCCTCTCAGATGTTTATTACCTCTATCGCCACTCTTTTTCTTTTTTTCCCCCCAATTTTCTCTCTTTTTACAAGTTTTACACGACTATCAAGAATATCGTTGTTAATTTAACCCTCATTCAATTGAACTTTGTGTGATCAACCTAAACAAAAGTTCCTTTCATTTATTCTACATTAGGACTTTGTGTGCTAGGGTATAGTTAATTCGAAAGCTCTAGCTCTCCCAATCGTTTTTATAGTTTCAAGATTTATAATATAATTATAATTCCTTTTAAATAACCAAATCGATTTACCATTTATCACACACCCGTGCCGATTTTGCGACTCCTTAAATATGGTATTGCACGGCCGTGCATATATTTTGACATGACGTCATTAGCGTTATCCAAACATAGTGTAAAGACGCGCTAAATGTTATCGTTATACTTAAGGCGCGTCAATGAAAAATGACTCTTATTTCACTTTAAACGGTCTTTATTTTGGGTGTGTGATAAATAGAATATTAAATTCGTATAAGTTCATTACTGAATTTATTGCACTCGTTGAATAAAATAATATATATAATAATTTTATTCAACTCGTGCAATAAATTCTGTATTGAACTTACACTCATTCAATATCCTCTATTTATCGATAACCAGTTTGCCTCCTTATTAAAATTAAACAATTAAAAGAATATTTTCCTTGTTTATTATGATGATTGAAATTCAAGCATATACAGTAAAAACTGTAATTGATTACATGTAGTTTCAATAGCAGATTTTCGTATGCATTCTTTCTCTCTCACGTTTTCAATGCAACTCTGCTTGACGAGTATTTCCGTAAACATACATATTGTGTACTCTGCATACACATATGTGTGCATACTTTTGTATTCTATGTTCTCATATGTGTAACACTCATAAAAATGTACACCAAACATGACATATATATACATAAGTGAATATTTATGAAGTTTGGTAAATGTATTTAAGCACATTTAAATAGTCAATATATTACTGGCAAATAATCAAGTTCTACGAAAACCACATTCTAAGCTGTATGTTACAATCTCCAACGATCTGTTCTTTATCACATTTAGTCGTCAAACTGTTCAAAGGACTTGACAGCTGACTTAGGCTTGGCTACAATGTACACAATCCCGGCTATGAGGGTAAAAAGCGTTGCAAAAATGGCAATATAGAAGCTCGCGTGCAGGTGCGATCCATCCCAAGCATTGTCATCCCCAAATTTGGCGCCAAATACAATAAGTGCAACTGTACCAGTCAATGCTGTTGAAAAAAAATGAAGGAAAATACTAATATAAGATTGTACATTATACGTATGCTCTTGAACCGACAAGTCGTTTTACATCATAATGATATTGATATAATGAAGAAGGAATTCCAATAGGTAAATTAAGCAAGCTTTTTCTTTAAATGAACTATATTTTGCAACATTATGTAATAACCTTGGAAAGTTTCAAAAAGAATACTGGACACACAGTAACACGTAAATTACCTCATTCTGTTAGGTTTGTATTAACTCCATTACAATATTGTTTCGTAACCTACCTGCAAACAACGCAAGAATGGCTGCGATGACGTATAAAACAGCGTCATAAACCATGCAGCACATGGCACAACTTCCGGCAACCAGGGCGAAGAAAACGAGTGCAAGAACTATCACCTCCAAGCCAGCTGTGGCCCCCAACCACTCGGGCTGTGCAGAACCTCCTGATATTATAAACATATTTTTTCAGAGTTAGCCACTTTGTACATGTTTAAACTCTACTTTTATGTAAACACATTCCAGTGACGCCGATAGGTTATGACTGAAAAGGCTGAAATTATTTTTTGACGTCACTGTCATTACATTGAATTTCAGGAATTAAGCTTTATTTTATGCTACCAAACTCTTGAGAATTCTGTTTTTGAAACTCACTCGATGAAATAAATTTTCATCTTACACAAAAACAAACAAACATTCTCTATACAATCTTTTTGAGTTTTCCTACATTTATACAGGACATGTAACGATGTTACGTAAAGTATAAGTATCAAAAATGAATTGTGAGCAAAATAAAACCAATTAAAAAGGTTTTACTACAGAAAGACAACTCTTACCAGCGGCGTATGAACGACATACATAGTTATCTCCGTTTACACTTGCACATGTTTCAAACAATCCGTAATACAGCGGCGACTTGCCATACCAATACGGCAGACCAACACAGAGTATCTGTAGTAGCAAGGCCAATAACTCTAACACGTTAGCAACAACTAATGCAACGTTCATCTGAAAAGGGGCGATAACTTGTGAATCATTTTTTTCAGATTACATATAATTACTTTACACTATATTAACAGTAAAAAACACCTGCCAGCATTTGATGATTAATGTAAAGAAAAATCAAATAAACATACGTTTGGCGATCTTTCATATATTCGGCAGGAAATCTCGTTCTTTTAAGTATTAGTCTTTTTAAATGAAAATAGAAACCAATATTTTTTAAAAGAAAAAAAGATGAACTTAAACTACAGGTGTACATAAATCTGTATATGAAATAATTTTGATTTAGATATATTGTAATTGGTTTGCTGGCAAATTTAACAATTAAAATATTTACTTTAAATTCTCACCTTTACGAGTCTAATGCTATTCCATCCGTTTTCTAAATTGAATGAAATATCTGTAGAATATCGATCTATACATCTTAAGATGATTTATAAAACTCAATATCACTGTTATGCATAGATACGATATAAACATTACTACTTTTTTCATGCTGTAATAAATACAAAATACTTCAGGTGAGGATCTGTCCGTGAGTAACTTCAAACAGCATGTTTTATCTCCACCCCATATAAGCCTCTTAAAAAGAAAAGAACGAAATAAAAATAAACCTAAACAACAACAACAAGAACTATAATAAGACAGAAATTAATTATGATAAATCGTCCGTCGTTATTTTAAAAAAATCAAATAAGATTGGCAGAAACACTGTTTAAACGTGACAATAGCCGGCATTTAATGAAATGTTATGACATTAACTTGTATAATTCATTCAATTTTGATATAATTGACCAAAGATAATATGAATCAAAATTTAAAAAAAAATAGAAAAGGGTCTTGAACAAACTTTACATGCAGATAATGATTTTACTTGACTTTATTTTCATCCCTCTCTCTCCCTAACGCTCCATGGACCATAACAGAACGGTAATTCAGTTTTAATGTAAAAATCTTTTCGAATATCAAAATTGATATTTAGCAGATTTTTAAATTACTTTTAATGAATCTGCCAATCATAATTTTTTTATAACATTTTAATTAAATTTCACTAACTGATCGTTTTTATTTTGTCCAACAAGAAAAGTTAAACGACATCCGCCCCTGCTTTACATACGCATTTAGTATTCATTCCACGTGCAAATTCAAATATTCAATTGCTCACGCCTCATTCGTCTACAAAAAGTGCAATCGATTTTACCGCATCATTTAATCAACGCGCTTCCTACGTGAATATGTGAATATATATCAATATATTATTTATACATATATTTCGTATGTAGTTAAATAATTCATTGAGGTATATTTGAATAAATTGAATTTTCTTTTTTATTGATAGGGTGGGGGTACGTGATATAATAAGAAAAGTCATAAGTCATCTACGCCCGTTTTAAGAATCGATGCTTACAACCACACTCATTTAGCAAACCCTATATAATTACTTAACGGTCAAGACAGTCCTCAACTTTTCAGTAAAGTTGTATTCAGATTATGAAGATAGTTTCGAGTTGAGAATTTGTGAGGTTATGAGGGGGCTACCTTCAGTTGTTCTTAATAAAATTATGCTCAATACCACTTAAATTTGAGTATTGACTTTGATAGATTGTTAGTTACTTACCGTTAGTGTCCTCTTGCGTCACGTGGGATGACCTTACGTGAGTTTGAAATTAACTAGTAAAAGATGTCCATCGATGTGCTTTTGTAAGTCTTAAAAAAAAAAAACATATTGTCTTATAACGACGGCACTCATATTTTTAAACATTAATTTAAACTTTTAATTATTGTATAATTAAAAATGAACTGTTAAAAACTATTTGAATGAGAGCGTATTATAAGTACATTTATTTGTTTTTGAAATGTAATCATATTATATGAAATAGCTACTTTTTATATGGTAAACTTCAAATATTGATGCAGAATGACATGTTAACGGTTTTTATATTTTCCATAATAACATTAATTCATCTTTGTAAACATTTTATAGTGATTCATTAATTACGAACTCTGTCGTTTAAAGATTTATCTACCTTAACTACAACCTTTTTTTTGAATTTATATCATAAAGTTTGAGTTAGTTAATCTTTTCTCCCGAATTTAGCAGAAACAGTAAAAAGTGAGAAAACATAAATAAATAAAAAATGGTCGAGTGTTTTTGTTTCAGAAAGATATATAAGCTGTCTGTATTTGAAATCTAAGAGCGAATGGCGCATGCGCCTTAATAGCAGCCGATGGATTACTTTGTTATGTTTACATGCAGTTGTCGTGTGCATTTACTAACTCTTTCGAGAATAATCATTTATTATTAAAAACATTTCATTACACATAGCTTTACATCCTGTAAAGCTCTGGTCACACCAAAGTTAAAACAGGTCTGCTCAAATGATTCCGTCTTGCGTGAACTCGTGTTTATTTTGTGTCATCCTCGTATATGCTAGTTTAACATTGTTCTTCGCATACTTAATATTATCAGTTTATTTGTCGTTTGGGCGGGAACTGCCTTGATATTTTATATAGATATAAAAAGGGGCGTATTCTTTTGCAGTTCAAGTTGATCTGAACGCTAAAACATCTGAAATTAGAGGTGGCGGTTTACCAGGAACGTTTGTGGCGGAACAATTTCATTTTCACTGGGGTGCTACAGATGAAAGAGGGTCGGAACATGATGTGAATGGAAAACATTTTCCTATGGAGGTACTATTCCGCACAATGATATTCCTAGAGTTTGTTACTTCAAGAATACATAACTCAGTTCTCATGTAGTTTTTATGAAAAGTCGACATGCTCCTATTTATATTTTTTTTGAAATTAAACAATTTATATTAGTAAAGCTAAACGATTATATAATATCTGCAATTACCATTGAAGTCAATATCATAATTAGGATTTTTAGTTATTAGTTTGGTGCATTGTCTTTCACATTTTGTATATCATTAAAGTATATACATGTTGAATAGACAATAATGTACAAACTGTGTATATATCGGTTTTGCTCGTTAAAAATAAAACAACCTACAACAAGATATTTTGCATTTTCTTGTCGATGCTCATATGTATAAACAAGGACATTGGCATAACAACAACAACACCACCATCCACAACATAATATATTTTGTATTGCTTTAAATGAGTCTATTCCACTTGGATAACAAAACTCATTCTATTTGGATATCATGTTGACACATATTACTTATATGTGGATGCATTGTTTCATTTTTACGTTTCAAATGTACAATACGGTTTGCAAATAAATATTTTTCGGAAAACGATTTTTGTCGAATATGAGCGATACCGAAGTGGGTTTGCCCGCCTTGTTATATATTATATATATCATCATTTGTTTGTAATATATAAAAATTTGTGCCGCTTCATGATTAAACCAACATAATGGGTTTGCGACCAGCATGGATGTACATCCGCGCAGTCTGATCAGGATCCATGCTGTTCGCTATCAGTTTCTCTACTTGTTATACGGTTTGCAAGCGAACAGCATGGATCCTGATCAGACTGCGCGGATGCGCAGGCTGGTCTGGATCCATGCTGGTCGCAAACCCATTATGTTGGTTTTGTCATGACGCAGCTCATATTGTATCTCCACAGATGCATCTGGTACATTATAACAAGAGATATGAGAATATATCTGTAGCTATGGACAAAGAGGATGGTTTGGCAGTGCTTGGTTTTTTCTTCGAGGTAAATATTGCTACAAAATTTTAATAAGAATATCTCTCATTTGTACTGCAAACTTACTCTACATATACATTAGAAATTTTCGCATAATGGCGGAGAAAAAGTATGATTATCTTTAAAAGTAAAAGAACCAATAGATTATAATTAAATTACAACACGACCATTGGCCAATTTGAAAGACGCACGAACTCTATATTAACCAATGGAGAGTTTATTCTCACAAATATAATTTTCCATAAATATGTACTTGCAGTGTTAGAACATATATTTGTTATATTTACAGATTGGACGGTTTAATCCACATTTTGAGGAGATTATAAATCATTTCAACCAGATCAAGTACAAAAGTAAGCTTTGATTCACTAGTATTACACCCATAAATGTTTTGTTTGATTTCAGCAATTTGTCGTCGCTTTTCGTACTCGATGAGTATTTTTGACACAGGGAAATTGTTATGGAATGTTGCAGATTAGCGGAGTACGGATAACGGATGAAATAATTGAACAAAACTAATGCAAAACAAATAAATTTAGTAATAATCAACAAAGTCCAAATTTCAGGATTCGAACCTTATCAGAAAGCTCCATTTTTCGTAGTCGTTTTAGCCTTATTTGACGATGAAAATGTTTTATATTAATTTGAAGACAATCTTATTCGAAGACCGTTATCAAGATTTATGCAGTTGATTTTATTATAAAGGATAAATTGAATACCTATGACCCCATCTTCAGAAAAATCAAATTTGGGGAAACCATTATCACCTCTTTTCCCAGGGGCCAAAAGATGATGTGATTGCTTTCAAAACTTACTTTTTAAAACACATGAAATGCGGGGGATCCGGGGGCCCGTTTTTTAAAAGGGGGGTCATGCCCAAAACCTGGGATTGTCTAGTTGTCAAACCCCTCGGAGTTTTGGGTTAAACCCAAACGCCCTTTTTTACTGTGAAAAAAACGTTTAAAAACAAGGGGGGGAACATCACAAAAAATTTGGTGTCAAATGCTCCTACGGGAAAAAAACTAGAAAAATCCTAAAATTTCCCTCGGGAAAAATTCCAATATAAAAACACCTCTAGCCCAAGATTTGGACCCCTTTTTTGAAAGAACCCGGGTCCGCGCCAAAACATGCATCCCCTGATGATAATTTTGTAGTTTTTGATAAAATTATGTAACAAAACAATTTCAAATTTCCCTTTTTAACATTAAAAGGGAAAATTCTCACAGGTTTGTTAAAATAGATGCAAGCTTATCTTAATGTCTACACAAATTATTATATTTTTAGATTGGTGTGAGCAAATATTTCGTTGCATTGTTAAACATTGTCCGTGATTGTTTGAGTGATTTGTGTTTGACTTGATAAAACTAAAATATTAATAATTTTTGAAGAAAAGCTCATATCAAACAAAAAAAAAAATGAAATAAAAAATTAAGTCAGCACGGAATGTTTGCTCATTGTAGAAAAATTAGTACATGTACATTTCATTTAAGGTCACTTTTAGTGACTTTAAGGATTGACGATTGTCCGTCATATGTCGTCTGCAACTGATTCTAACAGTTATTGCCCCCTGTATTGTAACAACGTAAAGGCCAAAGATGACATTACTCTTGCCGTGATATACAGTATTTAATACATGCCCCTCATAATTTGTATCCATATAGAATATTTATAGCGGTTTTAAGTTTGTTACCAGCGGAAACATTATAAAAAGACTCAATTAGTGGAAAATTCATAAGAATTTCGGACGTAAAATACTATGTTTCTCTTATGTCCGCCGGATAATCTAATCTGTCTGTTTGTCCGAATCCGCAAATAGATGTATAGGTTGGTGTAGAAAGCATAAATTTTCTTTCATGTTTTTCATTCAGAGAAATATTTATTTTGCTAAAATCATAAATTGGCTCATTACAAAAAGGTGTAGTCACACAATGTTTAGCACAATGTAGTATCACAAGAATTAGGTGAATTATTGACCTAGGGCCAAAAAAACTCAGACATAATGACCTTGTGCATTTAAGAAATATGACGACATTTTCAAGTGTTATGGTCTCAGGCATGATTTCAAAACAATTGATACAATTTTTGTTTATAAATATTAAATTAAAAATTGTAACATATATTATTAAGTTTTTTTATATAGCAGTAACGTAGTTGCTAGATTAACTCTGTTGTATTATTTAGGTCTATATAATAATGTAGTTGCTCTGCATAATACTTAATTTTCACATGAACCTTTTATTGTTTATTTATTTATTTTTGGCTTCCATAATTGATTGCTTATTTTACGGTTCAATTAATAGTACATGTAAAACGACCTAGCTTATATAACCGGAGCCGTAAGACGATGGTTATATTGCATTTAATATATTGTCACGATGGTTATATTACAACCCGTCATTTAATACACTGCCACGATGGTTATATAATAACCCGTCAGTCAATACACTGCCATATAACATGCTAAAAGTCTTTATAACGAATGTACAATACAAAAGAAATGCTTAATTCATTTTGTTCTTCATTTCTTTACAAAGAAATTAAAAACAACTGTTTTTTCCAAACATTTACAGTGATAAATGTAACTGATATAATGTACATTTCATTGGCAAAATGAATTTTAATAGGTAACTGTTCAATGTTTAGTTTATAAAGTAAACACAATTAATATTTATTATAGACAACGAGGTTGAAATCAGCTCTATTCCCCTCGTGCAATTGATGCCAGCAAAACTATCAAAGTTCTACAGGTACGAAGGAAGTTTAACCACGCCCCCTTGTTATGAGAGTGTAGTGTGGACATTGTTTAATGAAACAATCGAAATTGCTGAAGAACAGGTAAAAATCTATATTCTGGTCTTTTTCTTACCGAATTTCTTAAAAATCTACTATAGGAGTCATGATGGTCTGTTTGATATGTTGGTGTCCTACAAGCGTTTACATTATCCAAGATTATAACAATAACCGCATAGCATTACATTATAATGTGCGGTCTATCAGCCCGCAAACATTTAACTAACCGACATTACTGCTTTTTAATTAGTTACCCATCAGCTTGTAGGCTAAGATTCGCTCATATTTGCATGAACAAAGACGCACCACATTTAATAATATGCAGCGTCAGAGTAGCGTTCCCACGTGACTTTTGAACAAAGAACACGTTAATAAGTTCTACATATGATACACGATTTTTTTCTGTATAAGCCCCCTTTTTTAATTGAAGGGAAGGCATATTTCCGATTGTAAAAGGGTTTTAAAGAAACTTTGGGTACTTTCCCCATTGGTTTTCCCGTCCTTTTCCCCGGGCTGATTTTTCGGGTTTCATTTTTATTGACAAAAGGTATAAATGAAAGCGTAAATATATATGTATCAAGGTGAAATCACATTTTGTAAAACATCTAATAAAGTATAAAATCAGAAATAACAAAATAATATTCCATATAAATGAAATGTCACAATGCATGTTTAGTTAAATGAAGCTGAAAGGGCGTTTTATTACATAACAATGTAGTATATATTCGACTTTGTTTATTAATCTCCAGCTCATGGACTTCCGGACAACTATATTCGAAAATGATGAAGACGACAGTTTTTCATCACGTGACATCTCCGACGATTTCAGACCCGTTCAGTGTATGTTCCGGCGCCGTGTTTACGCCAGCCATTCTTCATTGAAATACAGCAATCACAATGAAGCAATTGTTAGGGATAATGGCAACACCGGAAGTTTATCACGACCCCTATCGTTCACAGCAATCTCCATCTTAGCCTTGTTTATATCTTTATTTCTTGTTTGTTGATGATAATTACTTACGTTTCTTCTCCTTAGTGTCTTTAATACAGGAAATATATACAATTCGGCCTTTATAGCTTTGTTAAACCGTATACTCGACAGAACACCCTTTTCTTATGTTATTGACTTATTAAACTTTTTATTTAATCGTGTACTTGACAAAATATTCTTTGCTTACGTTATTGAATTATTAAGTTTTTATATTCAACCATGTACCTGCCGGATCATTCATTTTTTACCTCATTGATTAATGTACTTGACAAAATATTCTTTTAATATGTTATTGACTTATTAACTTACTGAATATTTTTTTTTTGTATACTGTATATATATTTGAGAGGACTTGCGTGTCAGAACTTACAGTGTGTTTATGTTTTGTTACAACAAATTATAGTAATAATTAAATTTTTTGACTCTTTGTGTGGAGGCATTTTCCGACTATCTATTGCTAAATGGATTTTACTATAATATTAGAATTTTTAGTACAATTTGTTGTTTGCGTTTGTTTTTATACCTCAATTGTATTTGTTTTGGTCTATGTATGCATGTAGTCCATGTTTAATGAGGATCCATCCGCCCGTTAAGGCACAAAATGCATCTTGGACACTTTAAGACCCTTAAGTATGCCTAAAGACCAATTTATATAAAGCCCTACAGGTCCCATATGAGCGAACTTAACATAACGTTGAACAAGCCAAAGGCCATTAAAAACAAAAATACAGTCCTTTTCACATACGGCAACCAATATACTGGACATATTTCCCTAAGAAATATAAAAACGATAACCTGTCCACAACCATTCAAAAAAATAAATCATATGAGCCAACTTTCAGATTATTTGCGAAGAATGATATAGAAATGAGAATCCCCTGACTTAAGCTTACCCTCATTTAAAAAAAGGCTAACACAATAAAACTTGATTCTGTTCTATATACATTTGCTAAATCTTAACTTGTGCTGTAATGTAATTAATAATGTCACCAGTTTTGGATATTCTCATTAAATTAGTATTATACAAAAATTTGAAAAAGAAACAGATGTTCTGGCTGTCAAAATTTCATACCAAATTCTCGCCCTATAAAAACCCTTTGAAAAAGAATGCTCGGTGCATGTCGGGTACGCATAATCCCTTAATCAGTCAGTCAAGCTCATCCGAAAAGATAATGACCATTTATTTTTTTCCGGGATGCACTATAATGGTCTCTTGGCCTCTCGTGCATCAAAATAGTATCATCACAAAAAATCGGCCTGCATACATATTTCCTGAATTAAAAATTTATAGGTCATCTTTTGGTTGATAATTACCATTTTTAAGGGGCAATCCAAAAAGGTGACTTTTGTCCCGGGGCCGAACTCCTCGTGCCTGACAGGGCGAAAAGGACCCTCAAATTAAGCCTAGAAATACCATACATCATCGCTGTCGATTAACGGACCCCCCGGAACATGTCACCAGGGCCTTGCCCTTTTTAAAGAGTTAAATTTTTAAAAAGCATTAAAGTGGTTGAAATTTACCTCCATGCAATTTCCGCGGAGTTAAGCCAAAATATATGAATTTTTTGAAGCCAAAAAAGGTACTTGTACGGCGGTCCCAATGAGGGAACCTAAATTGTACAGTAACCGAAGAAATAAGAAAAGGAAAGGTTAGCCCTGAAAAAGGGCTGGTTTTTGGTGCCAAGCAAAAGGCCTGCCTTTAACTAGGGCCAACTATCTGTGCTAGGGGCTCACGTACCCTAGCACACCATCCTCGTCGTATATTCCTGCATCTTAGGGTCACTTCCTTCGGCTTTAGTCAGGACATCAGCATCTGGTCCCCAGTCGTAGACAAAGTAGAAGTCCCAAGTACGGGCAGGGTAATTAAAAGTTTTCTATCGCCTAACAGCAAATCGTCTGCCGATGTTGTGTGCCTTCTCTTTTCTGCGACGTGCACGCACCGAGGGGAAGAGAGAAGTGTTGCCTACATGTTTTTTATGTCTATTTATACATTGTCAGATTATTCGATTGAGAAATGATATGCCTATTCCATTTTGTGTGGCATCCTAGCTATTTCTTTGCAAAAAATACCACAAAATAATGTTATATTCCATGATTTCAAAAGTGTCATCTATTTCGAATAACATCACGAATTTATGTAATATAAATCCGTGATAACATATATGATTATAATTAACTTTGACAAACGTTGAATTTTGCCAGTTTAGCTTCAAATTGTCCTTATCTGTGAATATTACATTGTAACCATTCACCGACAATTACGGTCACGACAACGACCATAGCTACGCATTTCAAAACGACGCCGATAACTGCGGAGATAAATATGGCCATTTCTCCGGCCACGACGATTACTACGACTTTTATGACCATGTGTAGTTATCGACCATGAGTATTCTAGACCTCTATGATTACTAGAACAGCTGTATCTACAAATTACACGTCGACTACCAGTACGAACGGTGTTCAAATATGAATGCAACTAGACCAATATCTCGCTTTTAGAGGTGTGAAGTTGGCGGCCTGGCGGCCCAGCGATCTAGCGGCGTGAAGTTGGCGGCCTAACGGCCAGCGGCCTCAACTTAAAAAAGAATACAAGTTTGGCAAAGAAATTAAAACGACTCTTAATTAATTTTTTAAAGACATATCTTACCATTTAAAAGTTACATAAAAAACATTTAGACATTTTTTTTGTCTCTAGCGACCTAGTGATAATCTCTTTCACTTTTTCAAGGTACTGATAACTTCTGTACAACAAAGTGCCAAGAATTGAACACGGATCGCCTAATTTACAGTTCAATGCTTTACCTGCCGCAGTACGTTTCACGTATGGTCCTAAGGTGTCCGTAAGGATAGCGTTAGGATTATCAAACAGACCTTACGGCAGATCCTTAAATTTGCTCAGGCTCCTATGAACGTTTGATGACCTATTATGGAAGATTGATGATTTCTGTTGACCACTTACTATGTTTGCTTTGGTTTTTGATCGAGAAAAAAGTTAGAAAAAAGGAAGCCTGTTGTTATATTTTCTAAAATGATTAAGTCGTGCATTTTACTGGACAATAAATTGATTTGACACCCGGTATCTCTGTTATTGCTTATATGATTCATATTTTATACATGTTTTTGCATGGTTTGTTAATAAAAGCTTTTTTTTATTTAGATTTTGCATTAATTTTAATGATACAAAGACTTATAAACCATACAGCTAACCTGACCTAATGTTGATAATATTACGATTACGCCCTGGAGCTTAACTATTTATTGCCATGATTGCTATTTTATATGTCATAGTATTCTTGCAATGACCTGTTTATCTGGCTCCTCCTCCAAATTTATTCGCGCATGCTCTGTAGACTTAATATATACACCGGTCAAGCTTCTGCAAATTCCCTTCTGATCCAGTCCTTGAGGATCCGAAGCTGCACTGACCATACGCGGACAATTATCCACCAAGCCTTTCCATTTGCCTTGGTGTTGTGTCTTTTTTTTCTATTTTAGGGCAATAATGCTGCAGAACTATTGTGACTGGCATTACCATTACAACGGACAAAATGGGTTTTACGAAGTTTACTAACGTCGACAGCCACACTTTTACAATTTGATTCTGACAACAGTTCAAAACAACTTTAACTGGCTTGAGTGTAAACATAACAAACTTTCATTTCGGATACCTATATATGGGAGAAAATGCATTTTATAGATTTAAACGTCAACAATTCGTGACCTTCGGAGAGGATATTTGTATATTCATTTTGTAAAATTGACTTGTGATTATCTAAAAGTAAGCAATGACGGTACAAAACAAAACACCTTTTGAAATGCCACGATGAACTTACTACATTTGTAAATAAAAATATTTAATCATCACTTATATTCCGAAGAATTTATATGTCTTTTCTTCCAATTAGCGAAAATCTAAGTCGAATTTTTGGAAACAAACTTTATTTCGCTCTTAATGAAACTAACCAATGAAACATAATTAATTTGTTTTTTTAGAAAATGGGTCTGTTACATTTTTCACTAGTTTTAAATAAAAAGAAGTATTGTTATCCAAAGAAAACAAAATAGAGAAAAATAGAATCAAATTACAACACTTTAATCCGTACAATCCAAACGTTCAAATGTAATTAAGTCAATCATGTATCTATTGGTTTGCATAGTTATGTAAATTTGAAGATACTGAACTAATCTTTATTGATAAGAACTCCGGAGAATGATGTCCAATAGTGTGAGTCACTGTGAAATAAAATTTGACCGCTCCCCGTGCGGCCTATAACCTTAACCCAAACTTTGTTTCCTGACTTTACTGAGACTGTTGTAGTTAACTTAAAGCAACAAACAGTGTGATCGTTGTCCTCATACCATGCTGTATCCATATAAACATCATCAACGACCAATCCAATGTAAATTCTTAAGTCATTCAGAGTGCACAACTGAACAGTAAACAGGTAAATGCCTCCAAGTGGAGCAATAAATATTCCAGTGTCAGTATTGTAACTCTCGCCAAGGTTAAGGGCAATGTCGGTGAAAACAATGGTATTGCCATCTGCGGGACTGTTATTTTTCATTTTCTTAGCATAAAAGGCAATATTTGGTGTTACAAATCTATCTGAAATAAACATGTATGATTAGTAAAAAATCTTCAACGAAAGTTGAATAGAGACAGTAAAACTATTCTGTAAATCAAGTATCTATTTACTACAAGAACAAATTCTCAAATCATATTTAATGCGCGATGTATTCAACAATAAAAAGCTGAAAGACACGACTTAACGAATACTTAGAGCATTTGTTAAGGACAATATTTTTAACGTCATTGTGAAGAGAGAAAATATATTGTGTTATAGAACACGGGAGAATGAAGACCTTCTGGAGTAGTACTTCAGTACCAGTACTTGTATTTTCCATCTTAGTATCTGTCACAGTACCGTACCTAGATCATTTACATCACAAGAAAAGCATTGATGCAAAGCATCAAAGGGCGTCCAAGCAAGAAATGCAGCAAGTGAAGATGAACTAGTACACATATGATGACAAGATATTCTTATAAACTACCAGAAATGTATACCACTTATGAATGAGCGGACGAAAGACATTGTTCATTATGAACTTTGATTGGCATGCTAGAGATTAGAATATTACTTGTTATTTCTTTATGATCGTGGTTATTAATAGCAACGGATATACATGTATGCAATCATTTATAATCCATATGTGTAACGCATGATCAACACGTACCACACATTTGTCCCTTATTATGTACATGTTATCGCTATTAGCGAAGACCCCCTTAAGGTATCTGTTCACACTTTAAGTTAGTAAAAATATGACACTGGTTATATTACCATGTTGATCATGTTGAGCATAATTGTTTATTATACAATAATTGTAATATCTATTAATTTTAATTTAAAAAAAAACAAATTTTTATGAATATTGTTTTCTTTTATTCTTTTTTGTGTTTTATGTGCTATTTTAATACTGAGTTTTTACTACTCTTTTTTTATTAAAATTGTAAAATAAATTTTAAGAATTCAATTGTCATATTGACCGACGATTATAAGTAAAAAGCTTAACTGGAAAAAGTCAGTAAATTATGGTTTATCTTTCAATATATAATATTGTTTATTCTTAAACCATGTACATGTACATTGTATTTTTCTTTATCATTTTTTAAATTATCGATCAATTGAATAATTCATAAAATCTAATTTGTAACTTTGAATAATTCCTCGGCATCTTTACTAAACACGGATAACAAATTGAATAATTAAATAAAATGTTTCAAAGTTGATAATGTCATTTTAATACCATAAAAAATGTACCTTTTTCTCAATTATTGTACATATCACGGATTTATATTACATATAAATCCGTGTACATATTTATTGTTTTTATCTCATATAGATAAAATGAAACATGCTATTGTTGTTTTTTTTCCAATTGTAACGATATCAAACATCTACTCCAAAATCGGGAGAGACCGGACAATAAACGTGTGGTACTATTCGCCGGTCACTAGTAAATCCTGGTCAAAAATAGACCGGGAGAGACCGGCATTTACCGATAGGAGTGATAAAAAGATATATCTATAAATAGGTTTTTGGAATATTTAGGTCATCAACTGATCATTCTAGGATACATGTACAACAATAACATACCATGACATGATAACCGACTGTGTACTACAAAATGATAAATAAAAAACCCCGAAGAGCGCGATTTATTGACGGAAAAGGTTATTTCATTTGTAAATGTTTGCATTGCGAAAATTCATTGTAACATATCGCGACATTTCATTCTTATTTAATAATCAAGCACCCTCATACCGATCGGAATTTTCGGCTTTTATTATGACCGACTAAAAGGCTCGAGAAGTTGCTGTCGCCCTTTCACAAAATCTGATCTCATTCCATAAGAGCGCCGCGCTTCGGCGCGGACGCCAATAACTTACTTCGGTGTCCCGTTAGGGACTTCGCGACGCACCAATAAATCGAAACAAAGATAACACGAAATAACGGTAGTTAAAAGTCGAAATAACGAAATCACGATAGGGAAAAGTCGAAAGTACGATGGTGAAAAGTCGAAAGTACGATGATTAAAGGTCGAAATTACGAAAACACGATCGTGAAAACCCGATATAATTTAGGGTTTTCACCATCATACTTTTGACCTTTCACCATCGTTGTTTCGTTATTCGATTTTCACATCGCACTTTAATTTCATTATTTTTTTTTCCAATTTTTCGTTTTTTCTTTTTCTTTTTCGTATTTTTTACACTTTATTTTCCCCTTAAATTTTTTGACTTTAAACACGGTTCTTTTTCAATGGTTGTTTCGCCTTCCTTCTGCATGCGTACACGATAATAAATAAAAGACGATAAAAAAAATTTTTTTACAGGATACCGGGGATTTTTTACAAAAAAATAAATAATGTTTTGTTGGGAATTTATTTAGAAAAAGGTAACATTTGGTTTTTTTTTAAGTGCCATGCTTAACGGAAGGCAACCCGAAAAAAAGACAACGACACCGCGTTTGAAAGGTCAAAATTTTAGGTGGTTACACGAAATTGTATCAAGTTTTCATCGTCGTGCATTCGTTTTATCGCACTTTCGACTTTTCAACATCGTACCTTCGTGTTTTCGTTGTTCCGAGTTATGTGTGAGCTGCGATGGCCCTAACAGGACACCGTAATTTACGGATCAAATACCATACATTTATCAACAACACACAGATAACATTGTTTTTTAAACAAAATGTAGAGTAACGAAGCGTGTAACGAATCTTCATATTAACTAAGAAATAAACAATACCTTATATCTCTGCAATTTGCGGCTGCATATTTCTTTTGCTGATAAATATCTTATAAATTTATTGTTCTTATATATAGTGAATATATAATAATGGTATATTATATGGCGAATAATCAGCAGCCATTGCCTTTACTTCATTAGTTTGATTTTCATTGAAATGTTGTGAATTTTTCTCATACTCACATGGTTCCTTTAAATAATTAATACAGTATTTTCTACAAGTATTATCATCAATGCACATTTCAACTGATGACTGATGTACTTGCTTACCAAAAATATATATGTGCAATAACCCTGTTCTTTTCAATTCTTTGTCAGTCAAGGTTCTTTACATTGTTAGCACAAGAGTCAATAAAAGAAAAAAACTTTAACTTTTTCCTTTGTATTAAGTAAAGCAATCATTACATACGATCGTATTTAGATCCTTCGCTGTTTGCATATATTTGGTTAGCTCAAGCAAGATTTAAATTTTGAAAATAAAATATTTTTCCAACTAAGCCAAGTAATATTTGTAAGACAGATTACCTTTGAGGTCCTTCACTGCCTCTATATTTTTGTCAAGGTTAGTCTTTGCTTTCTCCTGCAGTGTAGCCAGGTTTGTCTTACTGTTCTCTTGCAGCGTTCCTATTTCACCTTTCCATGTGGCTGTATCTTTGTTTAGCTTGGCTAATGCCTCGGTAACTCTAGTTTGCATGTCATCTATTTGTTTCTTCATGTTTTCAACAAGAATTCATCTTTTCCAGGAGTTTTTCTTCATAATGAAATTTGGAGCAGTGTGGCTCCGAGGAGCAAGCAACAATTACAGTAAGTATTATTAGATATATTTCCATGATGACAACTATATACTTTTAAACTGACTTGCCTTTAATGTATTTAGATACTGTTTTAGCGAAGTTTGCTATTAACTTCAAATTAGCTCCTGTTTAAACAAAGTTATCAACATTGAAACACAAGGATGTAGTGCGAGCTAACGGTTCAATGTTCAGGAGCAGATTAACAATTTTATCTCATTCAGGATTGTACAAGAAAAAAGGAGTCTGTCTCAATAATTTTTAAAGGCTCAAGGCTACAAGGGCTAACTCTTGATCCGTCAAGAATATTGAGAAAGTCCGGCATTTTGTGGCCTAAAATGACGAAAGTAATATGCTTCAATTGGTGTGGAAATATTTAGATTTTGCCATCTCAGAGTTTTATAAAGTCATACAAGATATTTACGGAGTTATCTGAATGCATGAGAACTTTTGATAACCTTGAGATTATCTTTAAGACAATTTCAATTAATTAGAATTTTATTGAAATTAGAAAAGATGATATATGATTTATGACATGCACGAATAAATTACAACTAAACGATAACTTAAACACGAGTGAAAATCACGCCGTTCGTTATCCAAACAAACAAGATTGCGAATGCAGCCAAAAAGTAGGGTTTTCCCTTTTTTTCTCTGAAATTCGTGATGTTCTAATGTAAAGGTACATATAACAACCTTCTCCACAATTTTCCTGGCACACAGGATTTTATTTCATGATGTTTCGTCCCGTACTTCATCTGAAATGCGCGTCACCGGATTCGAAGCGAGAGAATTTTCCACCGGTTTGATCGCCGTAACGTAAGGCTTCTTCTCTAAAATTCACTTTTTCGTTTACATATATGTATATTAACTGAAGCCACTGATTTTAAAGAATTGTAATATGTTGTCAAGTAAGCATCCATGCCCATTCTGGCTAGATTTACCGCTGTAAATATGAATACCGAGGCATTTTCCTGAAATGATAACGTATGGCGCACAAAATATCAATGATAACGTACGGCGCATTTTTTTCTGATTAATTGATTTTCTATATAATAAAAAAGTTATGTTTACCCGACATAAGAGGATGTGTAGAACCAAATAAAGAAACTGAAATAATAATATTAGTGTTCAGCTTTATTTGTCATTCAATGAAAACGCTGTATTTCTTAAAAATTCTTTGTGTATATTTTCATAGAAGAACAAAAGTCGATGATATATCAAAAGTCCGTTCATATCAGCCTTCTATTTTTCATAGTGCTTCATAGAACCGCGTTCGTAAAAATGGACAGGTATAGTGACGAAATAAAGTAAATATTAATGAAGCCAAATAAAGCTTGACACTAAGTATGTTTGTATTCATCCGGAGCTGTTCTACAGAAATAAGAAATATTCTCCGGTCGCTACCGCTCCCGTCGAAGTTTCTTATTTCTGTAAAACAGCACGGATGAACACTAACATATACTTCGTAAATACCATTTTAATAGTAGCGTAATAATTTTTAAAACCGTTCTTTCATAAAGATAATGACGTCATATCAGCTTATTCATGCTTTGATTTTAGTATCAGAGACACACCTTACTTCGTTGAGCGTTTTTCAAAATGTTAAATATCAATTATGACGTCAGGTGCTCCTTCTTCAGGTATAATAGATGTTCAACTGCCTTTTCTCTCTTCCCAACGGTACATGCTCGTTGAGAAGGCACAGGACATCGGCAGTTAAGCAGATTTTTTTTCACAAAGGACCCATTGACTGATTTTAGATCCGAGCGCTGTTTTTACTCAGGGCAGGGTTGAAAACCAAATTTACCTCTTTTTGTAAAGTTTTAAGTTTTATTTAAAGTCTAAATACCTGCCTTCCTGCTTAAGTCGGGAAAAGAAACCCCAAAAATAAAGGGGGGAACAAAAAAAAGGTTTAAGGACCCTACCCCTAGTACGGGAAAGATGTCGCCCAATTGGGCAAAAAAAAACCCCTTAAAAAAAACCCTTTTGGACCTTCTAAAGTTAAAATTCCCCTTTTAATGGTTTGGGGCTCAAAGAAAACTGTAAGTACCTGTTTTTGGCTTTCTCTTTGAAATTAAAGGAGGTAAATAATTGTTTTGTGCTTCAAAATTAACTCTAAAGGGCATGCCTAGTTTCCGTGGGATGTAATCTATAGCGCAAGCTGGATTTAGTGATAGCCCCTCACGAACTGCAAGAACTTTTACAACAACATGCCTCCTATGAGATGTTTGTTATTGTTACTTTAACTTTAAAATGTACTAAATTAAAGAGCTAAAGAACTTCTGCTTGCATATGTCAGGTACCAGGTTTATTTGTGTAAGAACCGCTAAACATACATGGCTTAAAAGGTTTGACCTTGACCATATACTAGTAATATGTGGAATCATCTTAAGCGTATAAGAAAAGTGTCATATATTTCTCAATATGTGCAACTTCAGTGAAGCGGAAATGCTAGTTTTGCATGTCATGTCAATGTGAGTGTCAAAAAAAAATGTAGTGGACACTATTCTGTGAATAAAGTATTTAACCATCAATTGTGACATTGGTCTGCAATGTAGTATATCTTTAATCTGCGTTGTCGTCTCAATAAGATAAACTTGTAAGTACCTGGAATATCTCTAAGCTGGTACCTTTCTTTTGACTGAAACATGTAAATAGTAAAATATATGTAATTCCAGCAAGGTTATGAATGCCAATTAAATGAGTGATTTAAGACTCATAAAACTCTGCCTTCTTTGGCTCGTAAAAGTCAGCTTTAAACTGGGTTGTTTGAAATCTGAGTTAAGTTCGTTGTCTTAAAAGAACTCCTTTGAGTTTCAGAAGCCTAAATTTGATTCTTTACATAGATCAGCGGGGGCACTAAAACAGAAAATATTGAGAAAGATAATTAAGAATATGTATAAAGAAGTTAATTGAAAATCGTATTTTTGTGCTATTGTTAGCATAATTTGAGTGGAAAGAGTTGCAACACTTTTCAATGTTAATAAAAATAATTATTTGATAAAACGGAGTTCTTGGAATGATCAGAAATGTTTTCACACAAGTTGTTGGTCTAGACGTATATCAAATGAAATATTAATCTCTGAAAGTGGTAGACAGTTACAAACTTATAATATATATTATAGTTTAAGTCTTTGACCATGATCTGCGACCGTGGCGCATCTGAAACTATAGTTAAAGCTTATATGGTCTGACTAAAATAAATAAATTTACTTAGAGCTAAAGGACATGTTGTAAGCAGACACACTTTACAAGGGTATTGTTATTTTGTTATGCATGTGCTAAATTTATATGCAAAATTGGGGGGGGGGGGAAGCAATCAGCACTGACCTCATAATAAGTTTATTCCTTGACAGCACACACTTGTAATCTCAAAATGAGAGTTTTTGCCTTGTATCTTGTAATTAGCATATTAACTCTTTAATGTATCTGGTCATATACAGCATGTCACTAAGAAGATCTCAATTGATCTCAGCTGAGACTATGTTGTTGTGAAATATTTGTTATAATAGTCAACAACATATTACTGCAAACGAGACAATGATAAAAAACAACAACAGCATAGCAAAGTCGTCTTCTTACTATATTGGGCAACACAATACATATAAGGTTACAGTAATTGTGTAATCTTACCACTAATATCTGAAATAATGCGTTTAGTACATATATATGGATATCAAAAACAAATAAAAAGTATATAAAATATTCATATATCCTGATACTTATTGAAATCATCATTTTTCGTATAATTTCTATTTGTTATTTTTCTTTTTGTGCTCATCAACATGATATCAATGTCAAATAATGTAAATTAATTCCTCGCTATTCTATCCGAGTAATTTTTTAAAACCATTCAGGTCATTGTTTAGTTTGAAAGATAATAATATTTTATCATTTAAATTGTGGTCTTAGAATACAGACCAAAAGTTTGATTGTCCATTGTTTTTTTTTATATTTATTCAAAGCACTACTCTTATCTTTTGTATCATAATGATGTCAGATCATATTTTGTCTTGTCTTCTAATAATTCATGGATTTTCTTAATTTACTTGAAGCAACTTAATTTACTTGAAGCAACATTTTACACCATACACCAGTTTTTCTGTTACTGCTTGAAAGATTGATATTTTTTTATTCATATTGATGATTGAATAAGGTTTGTTTATAAAAGCTTTTAGTACACATATTTTTCTGACAATTCATTTGTTTAAATGATAGAATTTATAGCTGCACATCAAATATCTTGAAATAAGCTTTAATTTAGAAAGGATACATATTTTATATACGATTACCTGTATATGTTTTGCTGTATCCACTGCATGGATCAAAAGATCAAATACTTAGTGGCAACAATTCATTTAACCATGATTTGCACGTGAAAGTACATGTATTGAAAGATTGTTGATTTTTTCTAACTAACAGTCTCTTGTTACGGTGTCCTTCAAGTCACACTCTTGATTTGCAAAGGAACATTCAAAGACACATAAAAGAAGCAAAATTGTTAACAAAACACCACTTTGAATTTTAAAAAGAAACACAAGTCTAAATAAAAAAATATCTCGATAAATATCAATACATGTTTTAATGTTATTTTGCTATCAAAGAAATATTATCTTTACTTGTCTACTTTATGTACGGATACCTTTCTGTCGTCCGTAGAATTAAAACATTAAACTTAACGTATCTATTACATGTCAACTTTCAAGTCTGTGGTATAAAAAGATCAACACAGCTGGTCATAATAACTACTTTGTAAAACTATACACTGCTGTTTATACGAATCGTGATATTGAATGTCGACAATATTATTAAAGTGACTCGTTCAAGTTTGAGGATAAAATTTTATTTTCCTAAAATCGAGTTTCATATTGTTTCTGTTTATTTATAAACTAAATACATATCTAGAAATATTGGTCAATACTTCAATATGAGCTTGC